GAAAGGTATAAAATTCATGTGTGCTGTTTTGTGGTTGTTTTTTTTTTAACTGGGGGGGCTGGGCTGTTTCACAAGGAAAAATACCTTTATCACATTACCATTCCTTACATGTTTTTTTGACAACTGTTTCAAAATTACAAACTATTTCCATGGAAAAATGTCCTTGATAAATACACATGCATGTTAGATTACTGAATCAGGATTTACAACTGTTTTGTTCAAAACTCATATAATAGAATCTCTTATTTCTTTTCTCCCACTCTTCACTAATATTTCCTCTAACTGTAACTACCAGCTATCTTTCTTCTCAAGGATGTGATATTTCTGACACTGAGTAATTTTCCTCAGCTGCTCTTTGTCCTTGAAATATGCCTTTTCTGTTTCAGATATAAAGAAAGCTTATATGTTCAAAAGTTAGTGTTTTTCAGTGATAATAACTAGTGAATAAGAGACATTACCTTTATCTACCAGTTCTGTCTTACAGTTATACATTACATATACATAGAAATGATATATTAACTTTAAGGTGAATATGTTCCTAGGTTTAAAAACAAATCTAACCTTTGAACATGACACAAAAACTTTATTATGAAAATAATCTCTACAAAATATAGGTATGAGAAACTGTAGATAATAAGGCATTTATTTGTACTCCTTAATTCTCAAAGCCTAAAGTGGTTGGCAACTGGCATGGCTCTGAAAATGGCTCTGATTTCAAACTCATTTCTTGAAGTGTCAGCTGTCCAAGCATACAGACAATTTTTGCTTAGCATTTTGTGCTCATAATGACTCCCACAATATGGACGCCAGAAATATTTTGCCTTACATTCTATGGTGTGAAACTTTTTCCTTCTGTGTTTATTATCTAGCTTTTAAAAGTGGCTATTATACCGTTGTTCAGAGAAAAATGTGATTTTTATGTTTACACTCACAAAAATCTTTTGTTTTTCACATCCACCCACAAAAAATGCTGATTAAAGCTCACATTCTTGGCAAAACTGTCCACATCCGACAATAACTGCAAGTATGGATTTTAAGAAGAAATCTCACAGTAGTTGTCATGAACTTATATACTAATGCTTAGTAAGTTGTGAGAAACTAGCCTTTGAGTTTTCAGTAAATAGTCCAACTAATAAAAATTAATATATTTATAAAAAAACTTCAGTTTCATGAAAGCTCCATGCTACTTATGTTTAATACCAAGCTCCCTAAGTGAAAAATAAACAATATACAGTTTATAATATATAATAAATGCACAAGGTGGGAGCAAACTAGTGGTAGTATCACAGCTAATATGTTCAGCAGAAAATTTGTTCCTATGAAGCACCTCATAGTGAGAGACCAGTGTGCTGAGATAATGAAAAGCCAGAGTCCAGGTTGTAAATAGTAAAAATAAGCTTTGTGGCTAATCTGCCTGTTAGATGAAGAAAGCAAGTTACTTGAGAAAATGTAAGGTATAGAAATTTGTCAAAAAGGATGTTACTTGCCTTTCTTATATAATAATATTTAAAGTAATCTGGTAATCTGTAAGGTAATGTGTAAGATACCTAACCTAATTTTCTATCTCATTTCACACAATGATTATACAATACTGTATGTGTTTGATATGATTATCCAAAAAGTGGATTTAATGTCCTAGAAACATAATATCTAACTGTTTATGTACCATTATCTTAGGCATTAAAACTAGGTATAGCAAAAGAAACTCTGGAATTTTTTGTTTGATAAAGACAAAGAGGAGTTTTTGTAGAGTGTAAAGATTTTTTAATGATTCTTTGGTAAAAAAGTAGTTTCTTTTGAGATTTGTTGTCTGTTCTATACCAGGTATTTCATTCCTATTTTTTAGGTAAATGGAAAGAGAAAGTCAGAAATAGTCTTGAAGACTCTCAGTTTTGAACTCCATTTTGGATTTTTCTTCAAAGATTTTTTTCAACTTATTTTCAAGGTTTCTTTTTTTCTTCCAATATTCTTTTCCTATAGTCAAGACGAAGACCGTGCATTTCAGAATTTTTGGTTTCTTAATCTTTATATGTTTGTCTCTTGATTCATAATGGGATGCTAGTTTTAATCTTCATTATGCAGGAAGATTATCAAACTCCAAGAGAAACAGATAATGGCAAGGGAGAAATTAGAAAACACTGCAACAGAAATCTTTCAAGTCAGTCAAATTGAATTTAGAGCCCTTTTAACACATTCTGTAGATATTTAACTTCCCACAAGAAGTTAATTAACAATATTAAATATTTGCCCCCCTGGATAAAGAATACATTTTTTTTGAGTGTT